TGGGTTTCTTGTTTTCTTCTGTTTTGTAAGTAAATATAATTAATCTTTTACCATTATTTTCCCTTTAACGTATATATCTATTAATTTCACAATACAAGAAATGTGTACATCTCTTGTATTGTGTAAATATTTCATATCCATTCATACTTTTTCTACATTTGCGAAATTAAAATGATAAAAACAATAATAACTTTGATAATAATAATACTGATAGTTATAGTCATTGTCATAGTGATGATGATAATTACAGTGGTAATAATAATAATAATAAAAATAATAATAATAATGATAGTAATAATAATAACAACAATAATGATAATAATAATAATAATAATAATAATAATAATAATAAATAATAATAACAATAACAATAACAATAATAACAATAACAATAACAATAACAATAATAATAATAACAATAATAATAATAATAAATAATAATAATAATAATAATAATAATAATAAATAATAATAACAATAATAACAACAACAACAATAACAAACTAGAAATAATAACAAACATCACGAAGATATTAAGAAAAAATAACGACCAAGAATGCCAGGCACGTGACAGTCACCGCCCATCCCTCCGCAATGGGCAGCCAAAGGGACGTGAGGCTCCTTGTATCCCGGTAGAGGGCGCCAGGGTGAGGTAAAGAGGATACTTGTATTATTTTCCTATATATAGCGACTCGTGTCCCGGGATGAGAGCAGTCTTCGCAGGGACAGCCAAGGGTCTATGTAAGTACTTGTGTAGATTTTGAGTACGGATGGGTAGCGAGTGGTGACCGGGGGGGGGGGGGGGGTGAGTGGTTGGCTATTATTAAAAGTAGCCTCCGTGGGTCGATGAAGTCGTTGAGTAGTTTGTAGCCTCGATGGGTCGTTGAAGTCGTGGCGTAGTTTGCGGCGGTTCGTGACAAGCCGCTATGGACTGTTCTTGTCCAATCCGTATTAATCGGATGAATTACTAGAAGGCTCGACGAGAGAGAACCCCCGATTGCGCACGTCAATCAGTGACCGATTTTGGGGGGACCGATTTTAAGCCTATCGGGGCCGGACACGTGACTGCTCGTCTGCAGAAAAAAAAAAATCGAATTTAAGGTAAAATTTTCCAATCACACCAGCTATTGCTATTGCTATTCGCTTCACGGTTACGATATTTCTCTCGGACTGGTTTCCAATCGCTGTAGAGGTGACTGCAACATTTTTTTTTTTTTTTAGACACCGACCGTTTAAAAACAGGGACTTTGCCGTTCCCGATTCAAACCTCCAACGGACTGGGTTTTTAGGGTAGATGTGACTGGGCTTTAAATCTCTTCCTTTATGCTAATCAACTGGCACTTAATATCAATGTTTATGTGTGGCATGCAGTTTTCAAAACATGTATGCAGCATGTATTTTGATAATATTCAGATTTTCTGCCTTCAACACCTCCTTCATTGTAGATAAGATACTTGTCAAAGCGAAGAAATTCGGCATTTGAATGAGGTAACAGTTATTCATTTATTTATTTATTTATATGCGGTGCTAATGAGAGGGAGAAAGCAAACTTCCCATATCATATTTCACAAATAATGCCTTAATGAAAGATACAACCAATATACATACAAGAATCTGCATAAGATATATAATGAATTCGTAATTAAAATATACGTTTTTCCTCTGGAGACATCTGGTAATGTTTAACGAGTTGC